TTGTGTATTTTAACTACTATATATATATATATATATAATACAAAAATAATAAATACTTTTGTATTAATAAAAGCATTAAAATTTTTCGTGTTCATAAAATGCAGATATTCTATTTTGGGACTTCAAGGCTGAAAACATGCTAATGAATTATAATTAGATTTATGTTTCAAAGAAGGAGCTATTTTAAGATCTTCCACTTCCATATAAGGAAGGATTAAACGATTTTCTATGAGTAATAAATGATTTTGATGAGGCGTAGGAATACAGGGAAGGCAATATGACTGGCCTCTTCACACATTTTAATTATCGTATAAAACGGAGGAGCGTGTCGTTTTTGCATGTCTTTTTTGGTTTATAATGTTTACCAACTAAACTCCGTCAGATTTGACTGTAACTCTGTCTCTCCCCCTCCAATTGGGAGAGGGGCTCTGAGACTTCTGCTCCACCATCGATTACTAAATAAAAGCTTGTGTAGAATATGGCCTCATTACTCATGAATTTTAGACTCATAAATAACTAAAAATATCGGTGTTGTTGCCGTGATATTAGATGTATATATTTATATAAATATATATACTTATTTATTTATTTATTTATATGTGTGTGAGTAAAAAAAAAGAGCGTAACATTTAGTTCCTCTTATGAATCCCTTTATTACTTTAATAAATGTAATTCTTCTTTAATCAAACTTGCAGTTCCTTCCTCAAGTTTGCCGTTCTTTGTGCAGGGTTTTGCCGAGTGTTATAAATTTCCCTTACCAAAATTTAAGGTGTATCCAAGTTTTCATTGAAGTTGATTTACAAAACAGCTTTAAGAAATATATCTGACATGGTTTATAATCAAGGTGAAGTTCTTTTACTATCTTGAATTTGTTTTGAAGTTCATGGAACTCTACATTAGAGCAACCCCTTTAGAGATTTTGTTTTCTAGGTGTACATGATATTTTTTCGACACTTTAAGCAGAAAGATAATGCTAGTAAAAAATATATTAAAATATTACCGTTTGTTTTATTTTTGTCCCCGGATTCCCTTTCTTCGGAAAAAGTTTAAGTCTAAGACTTTTCTGTCGAAGTCAGCAATTTATTAGCAATGATTTTTTTTCGTACTACAGAAAAATATGTGTTAAAACAAAAGCTTAATGAGATTGTCTGAAAAGAAATATTTGTGAAAAAACCTGCCGTACTGATCACGAAGTCCGGTCTAAGTTCTTCATTACGTTTATTATTAAAAGAAGTAAGCAATATTCTGAAGTTTATTCTGTTGTTAAAAATTGGATTCACTAACAATAAAAGTGCGCATTTTCGGCAGCGTCGATTTTCTTAATTCCGCATTTTGAATTTTGTTCATTTTCTTAGTCCTTATCTCAAATACGCATTTTAGGCTTTGTCAAGTTACTCAAATACACATTTCGAGCTTTGCTAATTTATTTAAATGCGCATTTCCAGTTTTGTTAATTTACTTAAGTATACTTAAATACGCATTTCCAGCTTTGATAATTTAGTTATTTATTTAAATACCTAATTCACTTAATTTTTATTTGTTAATTCACTTAAATACGCGTTTGAAGCTTTTTGCCAACTTTAATAAATATGCTTGTCGACAAGTATTAAAGAAGCATTTACAACTAATTTCATTTTCGGAAACTAGCACTTAAAGCTGCTTTAGTTTTCTTAAATGCTTAGTTTGAGTTATATAATTTTTTAAACATGCATTTCCATCCATGTATAATTTTTTAAACAGTCTTAAGATATGTCTGATATAAACCTCATCCAAGGTTGAAATTGCATTTCTTATTAACAAGTCAAATAACTTTATCAAATAAAAGTATTACAAATCAACACCTCAGCCCTCAGCATTTATGATTATTTGGAAATCAGATTAGGTGTCTGATAAAATTTTGAATGTCTCAAAATTTAATGTAAAAGCAAATAAATTGACAGCACTTTATTTTCCATTAAGCAAAGTGCTGTGCAATAATTTCAGAATTTTATTTATTAATGTGTTTAAAGTATTTTAGCTAATGAGCTTGTCATTTTCTATCAGATTAAGTTCTTAAAGGACAGTCAAGAAATTTTTAGTATTACTATTTAGTTTAAATATTACGGTTCATTAATTCGGTTATCATTGTATGAAATGGAAACAGTTTAATTTCAATTATTGACGTATTTATTAAACAGTTTTTTCAATAATTCTCTTGATAATACGCCTAATAACGTTTTTACAATTTTGATTTAAAATAGTATGCGATTGTTTTTGAAATTTTTTAAATCCTCTTCAATTCTAAAAAGGGTATTTATTTGCAGGTATTGTTAAATTAACTATATTTACTTTTATTTTTATTTAATATATAATTGTATTTTCTTGCTTAATTTATTGAAAGCATATTTATTTACAAAAAAAGCTGAATTCAGTTATAATAGGGTTTTGTGTATTAATAAATTTGGTAAACAAAACAAAAGGTACAGAAATTTTTTTCTTAAAATTGAAAGAGAAAATATATGTAAATTACGTTTCTTATGAGGTACAATTTATATTTTGCTTTATTATATTTTTTTTGAAAATTAAAACCAATGTAATACCTAATTATCCCTATTCTTTTCACTTGGTTATGGTTTTAAAAAGAATACGATTTGTTACTCGCAATCTTTCAATTTTTTTTTTTAAAATTTCAATTTTGATTCTGTCAGATAATATATTTTTGTTGTTGGTTTTATTACAATATGAATAAATATTGCATTAATTTGAAAAAGTTTTTTTAAATGACGTGAAAGAGTAGTAATTTGATTCTATCATTGGAATTTTGTGTTAAAACTTATAGATAATTGTGTAATAAAATTAGGAATTAAATTTTATAATTAAACTTAGTTCAACATAATATCGCTTTCACATAAGTGCATCGATTGTTTTAAAAATATTTTAACTGGAATCTTTAAGAACTATAGCCTAAATGAAAGTTGAACTAAACACAGATTGACGTTGTGTTGTTTTTTTTTTAAATATCGTCTTCATAATTTTATATATTTATATTCTTGCTTTACTATGCATGAACTCTTAGTTACTAACGGGCATCAGTTATAGCATTAATTCTATATACCGTAATAATTTTCCAGTGTGACACAGTTCTAATTATTAACTACATTTTCCGAAGCAAATCCTGTCAATTAAGTGAGGTAATTTAAATTTAAAAAAAAACTCATTTTTACAGCTACTCTTAGTTCAGAGTTTAAAAAAATGTTGAAATATTGTTTTATTTTAAAGAATATATTTTTTGATAGTGCCGTTGAAGGTTGATGTGGTTACTACGAAGAGAGTTGTACGTTCAGGCGAAGAAGTTTCTTTGAACTGTAGTATGTCAACTGCACCAAAATCTGTGATATGGGTGAAAGATCAAAGGAGGATTGTACCTGATCATAGAATTCGCCGTGTCAGCCCAACGCATTTAAAGATCTTAGTATTTCAACGAGAGGACAGTGGTTTATATCAGTGCTATGTTTATAATGATTGGGAGTCATCTCAAGCTCACGTTCAACTTGATTTAAAAGGTAAGAGACCATTTTTATAAAAATCTTAACAGTATTTTTGTAAAGATGCTTTAATTAACTGTAAAAATGATTGATCAAAATATTAATATGTAAAAAAAATATAGCATTTGGGATTGAAATAAATTTATCGTGACCGTTTACGAATTTTAAGAGGGGGAATGAAAAGCAACGAAATTTTTAAAAAAATGGATAAATATCATGTTTATGGAACATTTTAATAATTTTAGACATTTATGGAACATTTTAAACTTTTATGGAACATAATTTTAGACATTTATGGAACATTTAAGTAATTTTAGACATTTATGGAACATTTTAATAATTTTAAGCATTTATGGAACATAATTTTAGACATTTATGGAACATTTTAATAATTTTAAACATTTATGGAACATTTTAATAATTTTAAACATTTACGGAACATTTTAATAATTTAAAATATTTATGGAACATTTTAATAATTTTAAACATTATCTGGCCAGCATTATTTTAAAAAAAACACTTAAAAAAAGCACAATTATCACCCATACATGAGGAAAAATTAACGAGAAAATGGAGATGGATTGCATACATCCTTCGTTTAGAACGGATATCCCTCCAACATCCCTCTTAATTGGGCACCTCATAGAAACTGTAAGAGAAGAAAGCTGGGACTTATTTGTCAAAGATTCGCGCACTAAAATATGTGCAAAGCAAAACTAAATAGATGGGAGAATGCAAAAGGATTGACGTAGGACAGGAGTGCCTAAAAAAGAGACTTGAGGCCTTTGTGTCAGCTCAGGGAGGAAAGGTAGATAGGTATACAGTGAAAACATGGGGATCAAATTACGGTAAGCATCGACACTCAGGCTGTCGGTAATTTTTACCGAAAATATATTTTTATCATAACATATTACGAAACAAAATATCTGATATACCATAATTTTTTGTACCATCAAATCACTGAATCACACCAATAACATAAATATGACTGTAAAAATTACGGTATAATATTTCGCGATAAAAATAGTTTTACGGTTAAATGAATTTTACAGATGATGCACCGAAAGTGCCAGTACTTTATTACATAATTCAGTTACATATTTATTTTTACAGTGTATAGAAAATTAATTGCATCTATGAAATTTTCTTCGGAAGTTACATTTTAATTTTTGAGATAATCATAATTTTGTTTTGAATTGTATTTGATAACTTATGAAAAATGTCCGATTTGAATATCTTGAGAATTTAAAAAGTTTCTAGCATTTTTCTAAGTAGTTTCTGTTAATTTGGAAAAAAAAAAGCTTTGACTGATCGGAGGTTTTCTTCAAATTTAACTTAGTGGTATTAAACACGACTATTAAAAATGACATCTGCATTAAAATAGCACTTCACCCCATTAAATTATGCATTATTACACATGTCGAATTACAAACGAACACGTATTATTACAAACGAAAGTCAAAAAGGTAGTTCTTTTATAAAAATGTCTATATCGACTAGCTTTAAGTTAGGTTTACGAAATGTAGTGCATTGCTATCATATGATATTCAACGTAATTGACATAAGTTGCAAGATAATCGCTTTTACCTGGCATAAACAGTCCAAAACTTTTTTTTCAATATGCTTGCGAACTTGAATGGTTTAAATACTTTTAAAGTTTCAAAATATAAAAAAAATTATCTCAGTGTTCTTTGAGAAATAGGAAAAAATGTGTTAGTATAGAAGTCTTTCCATTATCTTGTCCAACCCCTGTACATGCTTCGCAACGATGATGCAGAGATCAAAAAATTTCGAAAAAGGGGGGGCGCCTTGGCAATATTTTAATTTGCTGTAACGATGCATATGAATTTTTGAAGAATTTTAACAAACTACAATAGCAGTATTGATAATGTGTTACTCTACTTGCTCATTACCTTAAATATGTTGACAAGTAATTATTTTATTTCGTCTCAAATTTTGTTTTTAAAAACATCCTATGTATTATAAAATATATGAAAGTATATTAAAAAATATATAATCATTTTAATTTTTGTAGATTAAGGAAAGTTAATTAAAATTTACTTCATTGCAATCATGAAAAGTATGATAAATAAAATAGAAAATCTCAAGTAATATTAGATATTTTAAAAGAGCTAATCTATGAGAAGTTATTAGCAACCAGTTAGCTTCTTTTACGAAATAAATTAACTATTTCAACTTTTTAGATTCATAGCTTTAAAATTTTTGTACAACCTTCTTGTATACATAAAATTTCCATTTTTTCGCGCTTTCTTCGCTAACTATTCGACCATTTGAAAATTTAGATCAATATATGCTTGTTTGGAACACGTAAAACATTACCGTAAAACTCTTTGGAACACTTTGGTGTAATGGTGTGATTTTGAAGAAAGATAACTCTTGATATTTTTATAACAATGTCTAAAATCGTTCTACAGCGCATACGTGACGATTTAAAACGCGATTTTAGTGGTCAAGCAACCGATTTCTATGTTGATTTAAATATAAAGTTAAAGAAAAATCGACGCTATGGCTTTTCTTGAAAGACTGTGCAACATTTATAAGAGATAACATATTTTTGCCGATAAAAGGAATGTCTGAGATATATTCACTGTAAGTATTAAAAAAAATAAACTCAAAACTACAAGAATGTGTTACAATTTACGATGTTTCTGGTTGCATGGGGGCACCAAAAATGCCAGACATTTTTGCCGAAGCACTTTGGTACTGATTTAGATAAAACTAATAATAAAATATTGTTTTAAAATGTGTGTATACAATTTAATAAATGAAGTAAAATTTGATAATATTATTATGAAACCTGAAAGCATGGCATAAAAACAATTCATTCGGTTAAATTTACAGCTCAGTTTTGTATATTTTACTAAATTTATGGTACAACTATAAAATATTATAATATAATTTTGAAAAGCAGAGTTTTAATTAAACTGTCACCATGTAAGAAGAAAAATTTCTAAATGAATACTTTGAATACTCAATATTATGGCTTTAGTAAACAGAATTATGTTTTCTTTTTTTACCTGAATCGTCATTAATATACAGTACGGTACTTTACCAGAATTATTTTTTCCTTGTAGTAAGACAGGGAATATGCTAATCCAATTTGGCATATAAGCTATATAACAGTGATTTTTGGTCTCACTTTTGCTATTACATGTTCAAAGAAATAGCTTCAGAATTGTAATAAATATTTCCAATTTAAATGCTTCCAAAAGTTTACCTTAAGAAAGTACGACTGTAAATTCACCATTTATGGGAGACAGAATATTTTACCGATAAAATTAAAGACTCAAACTTTTCACTGAGAAAAAAAAACATGTTTAAAACTACCAGAATATGATAAAATCAAACGTATTTCTGATTCCTAAGGGAACACAAAAAAGCACGCGAAATTATACTGCAATACTTTGGTTGAAAGTTAAGTAAACTTAAAAATAAAATATTTCTAAATGTTTACTTTAAAAATGTACGATTATAAATTAACCATTTATAATGTAACATATTTTTACCGATAAAATGAATGACTCGAAATATTGTAAGACAGAAAATATGCTAATCCGAATTTGCATACAAGCTATTTAAGAATAATTTTTGGTCTCCCTTTTGTCATTACCAAATTGAAAGGAATAACGTCAGAAGTGCGATAAGGACGTAGATGTGGGAAACAAAATATCACTCGGAGAAAAGAGTAAAGAAAAATAAATGATGGTGTTAAGAATGGGGTAAATTGCAGATTAAGTCGGCTTAAGTTCGGCGTAATGATATGCAAATGGTAATGTCCGGAAAGTTTGTCCTAATCACGTTCATTTTGTTTCTTATCTTACAGCTAACTTTAAATTTCTAAAGGCCATTCGAATAATTTTAAACTAAACTGGTATAAAAAGAATTCTTATATTACATGGAAGAGAAAGTAAGTGATTTTCCTAAAGTTTTGCCAGAAGTCTTACCTGATGTTTAAGCCTGAAATATTATTATTGTGTTAAGAGAGTTTTAAGTTTAAACACATGTCTTTTTTTTGTTTGGAAAACTTAGCAGAAATACTAACTGAGTTAAATTATGTGGAAGTTTTTAATTTTAGAATTGGGGTGTTTAATGAGCAATTTTCACGAATGATGACAGATGCGGCATTCCATTTTAGAGAATATTTATACTTAACACAATTCCTGTAAAATTCCGTAAATTCAACCGTTAAAAAATGAAAGAGAAGGAAGTAAGATAGTTTAAATGTGCTTTCAATTTGATGAAAGCACATCCAAGAGATCGCATGTTCTATTTTATAAATTAAGTATGCATGTCAGGCCTATAAAAACCTAGAGCTTATTTTATTTGCCATTAAATGCATAGGTATTTATACGATCACAGTGCTAACTTCAAATATACTCAGTGGTAAACGAATAATCGTTCAGAATTCTCTTGTCATCGGTCTAATCGCGCGAGGGTTTTATATATTTCTTCTCAATATAACTTAAATGCATGCTAGCTTCACCAAACGTGCTAAATAAAGTTTGTTCCAATTCTTAATCTATGAGTCTCTTGTCTTCTGGGTTGGGTTTAAAATTACAAGGCTTTTAAGTTGAACATTGATAGTGATAAGCTCAGAATAGGGTAGGCTGTTCTACGCTGGTTATAAATAATAAATAGAAAAAATACGTCAAGAAATATTAAGTAGATATCGTGATTATTTTTTGATTTTAAAATTATGTTTAAAATTACATAAATGCTTATACTAAAAAACTTATTTATATATACTTATACCAATAAACTTATTTGTATATACTTATACTAATAAACTTATTTATACATACTTATACTAATAAACTTATTTATATATACTTATACTAATAAACTTATTTATATATACTTATACTAATCCCATTAAACAACATATTCAAGTAACATGAGAAGATAAAAGTTAGTGGTCGGGTAAACCTACCAGTGAAGGAACACTACCCAGTGAAGGAACATTTCATATATATTGATTAAAAATAAGAATTTGAAAG